AAAGACAAAATTCAGGCCAAGAGTGAGTCATACGTTCTCTGAAACCACATAAGCAAGTCTTGAGATTACTCCATGCTTTTTGAGGCGAGCATGTTATTGTTTATCCTTGCATCTTTCTAATAACTTTAACAGTATTGGAAGCTGATCAGGACTACAGCTGTGATTAACTGAGTCCTGGTGTCAGTTGGGAGCTCACAAGGTTGATGCTCTCCTCAAACTGTCACACTGGCATGCAAAACTGTTCTAACAGCAGCCCTCGAGGGCTCACATACCGAAATCGTTCCAGCCCTGGTATTTCCCCTTCAGCGCAGACGCGGCATTCCAGAAGCCTGTGTCATGTTCCTCGGAAGCCCTTTTCCTCTTCCCGGTTTTCCTGTGTTTGTTTATTCTTTGTTTTTGTTTGTTTGGAGTCTAATGGGGAAAGTGTGAGCATTGCTTTTAGCTGAGACTGAACTGGCAGGCGCAAACTCCATTATTGAAAACAGCAGGAGGCTTTACCCTCGTAGCCGGACTGATTGTGACTGAGGAAATATTGTACTCTGCACTCACAAACACACCCCACTCGTGGTCTGGTACGACTGCCAAATTGCTGTTCAGGGCTCCATAAGACACCGGTGTGTCGGTCCAGACTTGTTCAGGAATGCGCTTGAACACAAACACACACCTATGTGTGTCAAAATAAGTTAACATAGTCTCAACAGGGATCTTAAATATGACATTTTCTGCAAATTTTAATACACAATCTCTGATTATTTGCACAGGCCACGTTTTATTTTCAGGTTTCTGCCCCAATATGTTAAATTCAGTAAACAAAGAATAATTGTGCATTAAAATATGCAGAGATGTGTTTCCTGAAGAGAACTTTTTACCTGATTTTCATTTAAACAAAAAATAAAATTTAACCAGGGACGTACAAACCTGTGCATGCGACTGTATGTCAAATCCAGTATAAAGTCGCAAATGTACGCAGTTCTGGACTCAGCAATCCAGGATTAATCAGTGAGTGTCTTGCACTCTATGAGGTGTAACACAATGCCAGATCTACAGTGATTTTATTTGTGTTTATATTATTAGTCGTGATCTTCAACTGCTGAAGATTTTTGCCACCTGGGTTAATGGGGATTCTGCATCTGAAATCCTCTTCTGTCCTGGCGTGCGCTTACACTAATCTGTGTGCGGAAGAGCAGCACTGGTTATTTTAGCTCTGTGTTAGAGGGCCTGATCTGGCCTGATACATGCTTGCTCATTCAGGGACGACCTCTGTTCTAGAAGGGCTTTAATCACAACTCTCAGCCTCATTGTCCCTGATAATCTTACACATGTAATTGCTGGGTAAAATATCAAGCATTTGCAATATATTCACATTGATTGATTTTTTTTTTCTTTGTATTGTGAATACATCATGTGCAATTTATTCCCATTCTGTGCGCGTTTATGCACAATTGAGTTTCCTAAAATTATTTAGTGAAAAACAGACCTTGATATTATCATAATAATTTTTTTTAAACTGTACATTATTCGTTATTGAGGTTCACATTTTGAATCTGCTCGTCAACAATTTGTTAGCTAAGTGTTATTGCATTTAATAAAGGCTATTATTATGGCTCTTCCAACTGGAAAAATCACTTTTAAGTCATTTCATATCAGTATTAGCAGATAATTGCCTAAAAAATTGACAGTGGATAGATTGTTTAGATTTGACCAATTTTGGATGACATATTTATTGCACTCTGGAAAATCAGGATGTTTGGGTGAAGCTGGATAAATGCACTAAAATGTCTACATTTTATTAATTTATTGCATGTGTAACTTGACACCAGTAAATGTTATTTCTCTGTAATGCTAATCCAGGTAGATGGAGTGCCAGTTTAAATGTTCTGATATCGTGTACTCCATGTGATGTGTGCTATTATGAAAAATATGGGATATCGGCATCTGCCCACAATTGCCCAAAATCCCTAATGAGTCTCGTTTATCTCCACAACACTGAAAGCTATAGAGATATACATTCTAATGCATATTGCACAGACCTTTTGAGCTGGGTTTATTAGAGGAACTGAATGAATGCTATGTGCTGTCTCTGTGCGCTCACACCTTTGCAGAGCATGCAGGAGCAAAAGCTAAGCCTCAAGATGAACTGCAGTAGCCTGTTAAGGTTAAGATCAGTCAGTTATGTCTAATCTGGTCAGTTCAGTAGACCTCAGAGATTCACTGACCTGAGGTCAGTCTTACCTGCTACATTCTTAGGCCTGAAAATCATTCAGGCTGACTGGGGCTGCAGGATATGGATGAAATACTGGTGTAGGGAAGGGTTGGAGATATGGCAAAAGTATAATATTGCAATACTTGAACACATTTTACGATACACAATATGTATCATGAAATGCAGTTTTTTTTGTGGTTTCATAATTGCAACAGTCAAAAATGCTCCAGGAGTGTTAATTTAAAACTATGAATGCAATGATTTTGTTCAATGCTTTACATGCTGTACACTCTTGTAGAAGATGGTTCTTCAAGGCTTCTTTGGTAAAGATTATTGTTCTTTATAGAACTGTGAACACAAACGATTTGCATGGTTAAGGGGTTCTTTGTATGTTGAAATGGTTCTTCAGACTGATGGAGAATGTGTTGTAAGTGTTGTAAGAGAATGTGTTGTTTTTTGAAAAGGGCTCTATTTAGCACCAGATAGGGTTTTTCTATTGTTACTATTGTTCAAGTTTGCTGGAAAAGAGCCCTTTTTGGTGCTATATAGAACCCTTTTCCAAAAAGGTTTTATGTAGAACCATCTACAGCACATTCTCCATCAAACTGAAGAATTTTCACGATGCAGAGAACCCTTCGTTCTATATGGAACATTTTAATAAAGAACGCTTGAAGAATCATGTTTTTATATATATCCATGGTGTGTTCAAAAAAGCTTATTGTGACAATTTATCATAATAACAATAAATATCGTCTCATTTACCAGCCCTACTATATTATTACAGTCACATTGTGACTGAGATACTCCTTGAAATGTTTTTAAAAACACATTGTGTAAATTGATTTAAAAATGATTTTGCCTCATAGTCTGATTTATTTTGACCATTATATTTGTTGGAAACTCTTCTGAAGTTCTGATTGGTCAGGATGCTCACAGCTGGAGGTGAGCAGCATGACAGTATTTTATTGTGATAAACAATAAGCTTTTTTGAGAGTATTATAGATATCAGTACTTAAAGATTCATGCTTGTTTTTTAAGGGAGCTTAATTGCTCCTATTTAATTAGGTTCAGTACTGCACAGTATGTGAAATGTTGAATCAAATTTGTACTAAAAATTCTTGATGGCAGTCATCAAATATGGCACCACTAGCACATTTTGTCTTGTGTGTCAAAATACCAGGGATGCGTGTTGTGTATCTTGCAAAAGTCTTTATGTCAAGAGAGATGATATTTTCGCCATATCACCCACCCCTCACAGCACACAGCACACAACACTGTGATTTGGTTAGAGTTCATTTGCATATTACACCTTTACAAATGGCAACATCATGATAATGAATAACAAATGTCACCATTTCTGCTCACTGACCTGAGATCAGTCCTAGAGGCCAAAAACCATCTAGACTGATCTGAGATATGTGCTGTTAGAATTAGATGAATTCTCACTTTTGGGGTCAAACCAAAGCTAGTTTGAGCCATCCCCTTTGGGATTGCTTTTTAAGCTGGTGTGAGACCTGCGCTGTCAGATTTAGATTGAGTTATTTCCTCTGGGAGCGCAGTTTAAGCTGATCTGAGACCTGCCCTTAAGTCCTATCCTGAGGGAATGTTGATGTTGCGTAACTCGGCTGCAGTGATCAGAGTCAGAGTGATGACAGATAAAGAACCTGACCCTCTACACAGTCCTCTATAAGTGCTTTACTGACACTCTCCAGCTGAGTCCTGCGCGAAGGCCCCCTCCCCCGTTCAAGGTCGTCCAGCGAGTTTGTATCCAGCAGCAGTTGTGATAATAATAAAGGCCCTTGAAACCCACCTACGCCTCTATGCTTCACTCAGTTTCCTCTCGTATCAGCTGCATTTATCTACTGCCACACAGCTAAGAATTTGAGATTTATTATACTTCATTATTTTTTTCACATGCAGTTAATCTCTTGCAGTGTGAGCAATTACCAAATCTGTTAAGTTTGTCAGGGTTCTACCGTACACTTAAAGGGGAATGTATGATTAAATCATTAAGATGAGTGGTTTGGTGTGAAATAAGCCAGAGAAACCAGAAGTCAGTATTGTTCACAGTGGTGGTGATAGGAACCAGATGTCTGAAGCGTTTAATGCCTTTAAAGGCTCTTGTGGAAAGTTATTATGTAAGGTGGTTATGAATACGCTGCCTGATGTCTGAGACATGGTTTTATGATTGTTTTGAGAAGGTTTAACCCTGTTGTAGTCATGGTTTCTATCACCACCACTGTGAAGAAATCTCAGTCAGTAAGCTTTCTCGCACCGTTTCACATCAGAAATACTTTCAGTGACTGAATTGTACAGATTAAAAATTGTCAGAAAAAGTTCTAGTGAAGACTGATTAGACTGATTGGTCTAATGTTTGTGGAATTTTGTTTAGTTATACCTTGGACAAACATCTAGCTATAGTCTGTTGATTTTTAATGATTTTTTTTTTTTTTAATAGTTTTATTCAAAATCCAGTTTTAGAAAATAAAGATTTTCTGTTTTGTTAAAATGACCCATGTGACGAAAAGACTGAATCTAATATGATAAATTAAACTTCTTAGCCATAGTATGTTTGATGGATTTGAAAAAAAATCTTAAGCTTCGTGCTCAGGCAACATTTTAAGAACATTTCAGGCAAAGGAAATGTAAAATTTTAGAAATGGACATCAGTGGGTTATTTAGATTGATGTACTGATCAGTTTTGTAGTCATTTGACTAGTACAGTGAAAATGTGCTAAAAGTATCTCTCTGCGTCTCTCTTTCTCTGTCTCTCTGTCTCTGTCTGTCTCTGTCTCAGGCCTATGAGAGAAGGTTCCCTACATGTCATCTCATCCCCATGTTTGTGGCCAGTGATGTAATTAGTGAGGAGAAGAGTGACGACAATTCCACGCACAAGATCGAGAGGAGGTGCAAGCTGGACGTTGATGCTCCGCGCCTTCTGAAAAGGGTAAAGCAGCATTCTAAAGGCCAGAATTCCCACATTTCAATGCCAGCTGCTGGCTTCAGCAGTTGATTTCTCCATGTCAATTATCAACAAAGCAAACCTGTTTGCTTACAGTATAGTTTTGAAATGAATAACTTCAATGGGTTGAAAGGTATTTTGTCCAGCTTTGTTTAGCTTTACAACAGAGTACATTTGTGGGCAGGGCATGAATGGGTCAGTTCCAGCATTCCAAAGTCAGCAGTTGGCTTTAGGAATTCCAACATTCCAATGTTAGCGTTTGGCTTCTACAACAGTCCTGAATAAGGTTGCCTGTTGTATCTGCCACCTGTGACCTACAGTTTTTTGGCATTCACTTTAGTCACTTGTTTGTAATATTTACAATATTGTTGTGAAAACAAGGTGATTAATTTTTCCCTGCTTACAAAACGGTACTGTGCACAACTGCGTGATCCATTGGCTAAAAATGCTCAAATGTAAAATTAAATTTATTATTATACGCAGCAGTCTGTATTGTGACAAGAAGAGACTGCACAGCACCAGTTTGCTTTTATGGTACTCATTCTGATATTGAAATGTGATATATGGCCAATACTGATTGTATATATGTATTTTTTTTCTTTACAAACAATAAGCTTTAAAATTGTGTTTTTAATTAAAGGACTTAAGATGAATGCTAAAAATACACAAACATGACATGTCGAATGTGTGCCATCTCAGTATAGATTTGGTACAGGATTGAATCGAAATCTGATTTTCTGGCGATATCCGCCCAATACCTAGTACCGGATCGGTGCCAACTCAACCAGCAAGCCACTGACTCTATCTGTTGGTGTCTCTGACAGTTAGCTGTTGAATAGTTGCTCTTTCAGCTTTAGCTTTCAGCAGTGACGTTTGTGTCCATGTAACACTTATTTGCGTACGTGTTCTGATGCTGATAAAGTTAAACTTCAGTACTCCCAGAGTTAGAATAATGAGATTAATTTAGGGCTATTATCACTGTGTGCAGATTGCTGGGGTGGACTACGTGTACTTTATCCAGAAGAACACTCTGAACCGCCGTGAGAGAACCTTACACATCGAGTCCCACAATGAGACCTTCTCCAACAGAGTCATCATCCACGAGCTCTGCTGCTACTCGGTGAGATGCACACACTGTGCGTGCATGTGCGTGCGTGTGCGTGCGTGTGCGTGCGTGTGCGTGCGTGTGTATGTATATATGTAAATGTCTATATTTGCATTGTAGTCATGGTGACTCCTGGTTCCCATCACCACCACTGTAAAGAAACCTGAGTGTCTACAATCAACCATTTCACACCAAACCACTCTGAATACGATTACTAATACTGTTATTGATTTTAATGAGCTAAAAATTCAGATAGACAATACTGTCTGCCAGTATCATTTTTATATGGTTAAAAAAAATTAATAGGCTGGGTTAAATAGAATCCAATCCAGTTGTGGTGGTGATAGGAACCTGATGTTTGGAGAGCTTAATGCCTCAAAAAGCTCACTCATAGAGTTTTGAGAAGGTTTTGATTTTATACATATTTTAAAACAAACAAAAATAAACACATTTATGGTGGAGGGGTACATACAGGACATGGTGAGGCAAAATCCCCCAAGGAAATCTTATTTTTTCAGATTTATCACTTCAAAATTACGTATAAAAACTCAGCCACGTCTGGGTTCACTGGTAGTTTTGGATAGTAAATAAAATGACCATATTTGTCTAGTTGAAATTGTGACCCCTGTTCCTGTCATCACCACCATAAAAAATACTGTCAGTTTCTCTAGAACAGAGCATTTCTCATCAAACCACTCTAAATGGCTGTTTATATCTCAGTTTTTTAAATCTTAATGACTTGAAAGATGCAGAAATCTTTAGAAAATGTGAATCATCTAATATACATTGAGTGATTTTTGGTAAATGCTTATTAGTTGGGTGTCTGTTTCGGTGACAGTTTTCCTATCAGGCGGGCCCTAACAGCCAGGAATGCTTGGCTGTGGAGCTTTTACTGTGTCTGCAGTATGTAACAGTGGGGTACTTTATGATCTCAGCTTATGTTCATATTCCATCATCCAGCCCTAAATCTTTCCCACATGCGCAGCAACTAATCATGTGCACAGCGAGGTACTGACAGTTACCACGTGCCCCCCCCCACACATACACAAACACTTTATATACACGCAGCTGCCCTGTAAGTAGAGCAAGAGAGTTTTGCTAACCCAGTACCTCCTCTCCTCTTGGGAAAAAAAATCTCTGCTGCATGTGGAAATAAAGCTTTTCGAAGCAGCATTCCGAATGTGTACAGTCACTTTTTTGAGCATGACCTCAGTGCTCCTCATGGCTTTGGCATCAAAAATATGAAATATAAATTTTCTCTAATAGTCGGTGATCATAGCAGAGTCACCACTGGTGGTGTTGTCGAAACTAAATGTTTTTTTTTCATTTAAAATATGAAATAATTCAGATTTGTTTTACGTTCACTATACCCAATACATACCAACAAATTAAGAGAGCCATGTTTCGTTAGCATTGAATTAAGCTTCTTTTTTGCATATTCAGATTTCTTTCTTCAGTAGCATTTAATCAGTGGCCAAGGTTAGCATATCCAAATGATTATCGTTACCATCTAGTTAGTTTTTGTCTAAAAGTGATGTAGAACATGATATCTGTGAATTGTAACCGCGAGTTGATAGACAAATTACACTGCAAGTGGTGACCTTAGGGGTCCAAGCACTGTGTATCTTATGGGAGCAATAGAGCACAAATGATGTGCCAGGTTGTTACAGTGTTTATAATGCATGTGGTGTCTCAGAAGAAAATGTCAAATGCCAAATTTCGTAAATACTGTCATCTTGACCTTAATGCATTAAGCAACAGATTTTTAGCAAATATATATATAAAAAAAAAATTATAGTTGCACAGTTTATGAACTGCATGAATTTTCATGTTAAAATTACTGAAGTGTTCTAAGGACAATGCCACTCCTGATCCCCCTAGAGGGGATTAGTTTTTAAACGTCACCTTTTCACTGTTCATGGGTTTTTTATGTCTGTAAACTATAGAAGATAAAACATGTTGATTGATTTGAATGCTAATGAGGAGAGAAGTTCCCTTTTTTTAGCTCTGTTTGACAATCTGAGTGTAGATTTTGTTTTAAGCATGTAGGTTTGTTTTGCTTAGATGGGTTTTTCATAGTAGTGGTAGTACAAAAGAATTTCACTACCTCAAGACAGAGGCAAGTGATTGAAAATGATGTCAAGACCGAGACATTTATTCTTGCTCTCAAGAGCAAACTCCGGTACTACAACACTATCAGTAACCAGTCAGATTGTTAAATCAGTACTGGGCAGATGCTACCTGCTGTGAGCACTCAAGAGTGCAGAGAAAAGCAGAAATACAGTACCAAATATAAGGAAATGACACATGAAAAAGAGGCTTCATATTAAAATGACTAAAATCTAAGGTGAATATCAGTATATGCCTTTCCTACCTTAAATAAAAAAACATTTTCTTTTTGATAACACCTTTTATATAACTGCTGTCAATAATGCTTTGAGTGATCAAATAGAAAACATATAAGTTTTACAAAGTTTAAAAATGTCAGCTCGTAAATCATGTGAACATTAAAAGACCAATTTCTATGTTTTTTTTTTTCCTTTTATAATATTTATGTGGTTTTGTGTATCAAATGTGGTTATAATTCACCTTTACACAACTATGTGGAAATATTTTTATTCCCTAGAATTAAACAGGCCATTTTTATTACTGTGCCTTTTAAGATTGATGTATGTAAATGAGCTCTTTTCTCATTGGCTGTCTTGTATTGTGCCCAATTCAAAAAGCTGTCTGGGCTAACTATCCTTAAAACCTCCAGTATGAGTGAAATTGGCGTTTATACATAAATGAATTGGTACTTGTGACATCACAGCAACAATGAATTCAACTTTAAAATTTAAATTAAAAAAATTGAGAGAAATTAATTTTTTTTAGTACAGGCCCTTTGTTTTTTTTCTTTGCCTATAATTGTACATTTAGTGTAATGCAATTAATAGAAATCAGATTTTATGATGACAGGAATATATTTATATATACATGATTTTTATAAAGCACAACATTTTAAGGTATGTTCAGCAAATACAGCCTACAAATTACTCAACTTTATTGAAAAACACATTAACATTTGCATTTCTGTAGTATAAATACACCTCAAACCTTCATATGTGTTTGTGAGCACTCAGCGCTGTAATAGCACAGTGCTCTGAATGAATGAGGAGTGAGTTAATAAGGTCATTGCCTCTAAAGGCCTTCCAGAAGTTTCTAATTTGGGACGTGTGCAGAAGAATAGTCTTCACTGAAGCACACATCATCGCGCCGCTGCAGAGTGAGGCTCCTGGGGTCAGCAGCTGACCTGAACTGGCCTCGTATTAAAAACCTGCGCAATTACACAGTAGATGCAGCATCTGGCACTTTGCAGTGCAGTTTTATTGTCTTTATTTCAGCAGGAAGTGTCTGCTGAAGATGCTGTTTGTCTTCTTTGCTTCTGCTGATGTCTGCGGTTCTTCGCTCCCTATTTTAGGTTTATTACCTCAGTTCCTGAGTTGTTTTCTAAAAACTTCTGGTCATTATTTATGTTGGAACTAAAAAAAGCTTTAATATTGAACTTGGACTATTTCTGTTGCTCCATTTGTCATTTAAACGTTCATACAATGTATGTATGTAATTTTATCTTAATGTACCTGAGGGAAATTATTTTTTTGGACTGTTTTTGCTACTTCATTCACCATGAAAAGTGTGCAGAAGTGTGTGCACCTATGCTCAAATGACGTTTTGTTGATTTTCTGTGTGAAAATAAGTTAACACATCCTCTACAGAGAACACACGTCTGCACATTTTGATGCACAATTACTATTTATTTACACAATTTAACAAAAATGGAGCATAAAATGTGGCCTATATACCTGAATAGTGTATATTTCATGTATGAATAATGCAGTTCTTCCTTCATATACACTAAGTTCGGATATCTCTCTGTGCTTTTCTTTTTCTTGCACCAATAAAACTCCCGAAAGCTTTAAGTTTGCTTTTTTTGTGTTTGTTGCATGGCAGGTGCACCCAGAGAATGAGGACTGGACGTGTTTTGAGCAGTCGGCTAGCCTGGACATCAAATCGTTCTTTGGCTTCGAGAGCACTGTGGAGAAGATTGCCATGAAGCAGTACGCCAACAGCATCAAAAAGGTACGAGAACATGTCTGTGATCAGTTTAAGGATTCATTAGGGTTTGCAAGATATAAACAGATTCTTCTTTTTACTCGTAAGGGGTTACAGCCTTTAATTTTATTAGGTTTTCTTGTTTCAGTTGAGTCTTAATGATCTTTGTAGTGGTTAATTTTTTATAGCATCTGCTCTCACTGCCCTCTGAATTCCATATTTCCCTCTATTTCTCAATTAATTATTAATCAAGTCACCATGATGTTCCTGGCTCACGTGCCACTATTTGCAGGTTTTTGTGCACAAATTACTAGTTTGCTAGAACATGGCAAAAACCAAAGCTTGAAGTATTGTAATTATTCTTTTTAGGGACTTAAGTCATGCTAATGCGTCGGGATTGTAGTGTTTTTTGAGTTTGTATTTGTACTGTGCTGTAAGCTACATTTATAATGTATGAAAACTAGTTTTAATAAATGCTATGGGCATAGAAATCAGTAGTAAATCATGACAATAATATGAACAAAAATTAAGTGTGTTTGAATTTTGAATTGATACATCCTCAGGGTAAAGAGATCATTGAGTATTACCTGCGGGAGCTGGAGGAGGAGGGTATTACCCATGTGCCCCGGTGGAGTGCCAGTCCTGCCTCGCCCGTCAAGGCTGTTTTGCCCGTCAGCCGCCCTGCGCTGCCTACCACGCCCGCTATCACTATTATACCGCCTACGGAGAGCTCTAAAGAGGCTCTGGGGGTCAAAGAGAGCAACAGTCCGGTGGGCAGCCCCAGTGAGGCGCTTTCCGCCACGCCCGATGGTGAGTACTGCAGTGTAAAAGTGCGTGGACATGTCATGATACGTTGATCCGATGGTGGTGATTCAGTTACATCGGTTTTGGAGTCTATTAAGTCTAATCAGTTGGAGTCTAATCCGTTCTGATAATTTTCTATTAAGTATGAACCTTTTTTTGGCGAAAATTAAGTTCTCTGGCTATTTTAAAACCTAAAAGACAGATTATTATATTTTTTAAATATAATGTATACTTTCCACTGCTGCGTAAATATTCACATAATATTTATTTATTTTTTTTACTTTTATGTTGAATCGTTTCCTAAAGAATCATTATTAAATATGTCTGAATATATTTACTCACTTGTACAAGTGTTTTCAATAAACTAATACAGTGACATGTTGAAAGAAATTGTTCAGGAAACTGACTTGGCATTATTTTAATGTGCTAATCAAACAAGGAGTTTCCCCAACAGTTTTTTCAGACTCATAGTAAAGTAACCAGTAAACCAGTAGTTTTGTTTAAGTAGAGCATTAATTGTCTGGGACTTCATTCTTTACATCACGGTAAACACCACATTGGCACTTTGAAACCACGTTATTAATGGAAAAGAGAAGATAAAACAGCAAAAATAGCCCCTTTTTTGCATCTGCTTTAACATCGTACAGTCTTGCTGTCTAAGGTGAAACTATTTGTTGACTTCTCTGCCACATTTGAATTTAACTGTTTGTTTTTGATTTTTAGACAAACTGGATGCCGACTATATCAACCGTTACCTGGGCGATCTCACACCCTTCCAGGAGAGCTGCCTCATACGGCTGCGCAGCTGGCTGCAGGAGACACACAAGGGCAAGGTGTGACATGCATGCCTACTGCAAAGTCTAAAGTGTCTGTATTCTTTCCGGCTCTGTATCAGAGTGTTTTGTTTGAGATCATCTGTCTTTCATAAACAGCCTGCTGATGTAGAGATGTCTGCACGCTGTCTAGTCGGTGACTTAGTGCAGCTCCGATCACGTCCTGATAATGACCCTCAGTTAATCCAACAAATGTGCTTCTCTGAGGAAGTCAGTCACGCATTAACACTAGATTAACATTAGACTGAGACTAGCCTTTCACAAAGGCTTTTGGGAAATGCTTAAGGCACATTGGCTTCTGTGAAACTGTATGCAGACCAGTGTAAAACAACTTACTCATGAACATACGGAGACAAACCAGATGATTACTCAGCTCTGCTGTATTTGTAGGGCCCATGCTGTGTTCTAAAAGTAATATAAGGCAGCTTCACATAGTGAATTTGATACAGTGTGATGCACAGTGATTCAGTACAATACACTGCAGTACAATTCTGAAGAGTACGATATGCGCTGCTATAATTTGATAGATTTTGATATGCAATACGCTGTGGTGCAATTTGACCGATACAATATGCTGTAATGAAGTTTTAATACTGTACAATTCACTTTGATACAGTTCAATACAATATTGAGCCAACACTAAATGCTGTGATAGAATTCAATACAGTATAATACTCTGTAATACCATACAATATAACACAATACACTCTAATACAATATGATGCACTGTAATACAGTACAATATAACATTATAGGCTGTGATACAGTGCTGTACGAAATGTTGATAGTGTTATAGTGCAATACAATACAGTATGCATTGATAGCTTGATGCAGTATAATACACTGTTGCAGCTTAATATAATACAAGACACTGTATTGTAATATCCCTAATATTTGAATAGAAATCAAGAATATGGCATATGAATTAAGATTCATTTAAATAAAATCATTCAAGGAGCAGTGTAAAATGTTTCTAAAGCTGTTTATGACAGTATAGAAGGCTGCACATAAAAAGCTGAGTTTATAGCCTAGATTTACAAATCATCTCACTATTGGGGCCAGCAGGCACACAGCTAGAAACACACACTAAAAGGTTAATTCATGCTCTCATCTCAGATCCCGAAGGACCAGCACATCCTGCGGTTCCTGCGTGCGCGAGACTTCAACATGGACAAGGCGCGGGAGATCCTGTGCCAGTCCCTTACCTGGAGAAAACAGCACCAAGTGGATTACTTGCTGGACACCTGGACCTCACCACAGGTGCTCCACGACTTCTACACCGGCGGCTGGCACCACCATGACAGAGGTGAGCGTTAATGTAATATTTTGTTTTGTATGTCTGTGTTCTGTATTCTGTTCTGTCAGCAAAGGTGTGTTGACTTCGACTGCACCAAAAACTGTTACCACCATTGTGTGGCAATTAAAGAATCTAGCTGTTCCTGCTAACAGTGTAGCCAGGGTAATTTGTCAGGAGTAGTTGGTGCTGTGGATGAGTCTTGGGGTAATTTTTCAGGCGTACATTGTGCTGTGGATGACTCTTGGGGTAATTTTTTGTGGTATGTTTGTGTCTTGGGGTAGTTTTTCAGGTGCATGTGCGGTGAGTCTTGGGGTAATTTGTCAGGGGTATGTGGTGCTGTGGATTAGTCCTGGGGTAATTTATCAGTCATACTTTGCATTGTGGACGAGTCTTGGGGTAATTTCTCAGGAGTGATGTGGTGCTGTGCTTGAAGCTTGTCAGTCACAGTTGCACTGTGGATGTGTCTTGGGGGATTTAGCAGTCATATGTGGAGCTGTGGATGAAACTTAGGGTAACTTGTAAGGCGTATGTGGTGCTATGGATGAGTCCTGGGGTAATTTGTCAGGGGTATGTGGTGCTGTGGATGAATCATGATTTCTTTTTTTTAGGCGTATGCGGTGCTGTGGATGAATCATGATTTCTTTTTTTTAGGCGTATGCGGTGCTGTGGATGAGTTTTGGGGTAATTCAGGCGTACAGTGCACTGTGGATGAGACTTACTAACTTTTAAGGCGCATGTGGTACTGTGGTTGAGTCCTGGGTAGGGCCGGGCGATAAAACGTTAACGATAATTATCGCGATTTAACTTTTCCTCGATAGAGTGATACGACATGTTAGATAAATGTTCGATATAATACACCACTCTCACACTCCCACGTTCAGGGAAAGCCTTGGAGGCGTTTTCTACTGCAAGGAAGGCGACACTACTCGGCTGTCGCCAGGAGAGGGCGCACTTCCGAGTTTTTCTACATGGTTAGAGAGGGAGGGGGTCATGAGTAAGATGAGTCTTTAGCAACGGCTGAAACACGGAGTTATACATTCCCTGTTTGAGTGGAGCGACTGGCGATCTGTTCTCCTGTGACTGAGTGTGAGAGACGAGGTCAGTGGTGTAACTGTACTGACCTACAGTGAACTTACCTCTTTCTGTACATCCTAACCAGCTTTAGCAGCGTTAAATCACAATCCTCACAACTACAGCGCTGTTGCAGCGCTCGGGCGGTCATATTTTAATATTAGTGCATTCCCAAGCAACGAAAGTGAAAGAAAGAAGTGGGTTCATGTAAATTACAGCTCCAATTTAAATAAAAGTAGCTGTGAGGCATTGAAGAGCAGGAGAGCGCTAGCTTTTCAGGCTAGCTGTTTTTAGCAGCTGGCTAACTTGAAGCAGCGCTCTGTCACTCCAAAACATGGAGAATTGATGATACTCTAGATCAAACACGACACAAAAGCACCGCTTTCAGTTTAAACGTACCTAAAGGAGGACTCCGTTTGTCTGGTGTTGATATTTTGCGGCTCACCACTTAAACTACTACGATAGTATAGAGAAATCCAGTCGTCGCTAGCTGGTGTCTGAATACTGTGATGTCATTTGTAGCGGGGTAGCCGAGCGCTCGTCACCAGCTAAAAATGATCTGTTTTCTTTCTTAAATTATGACTATTACAAAATAGCCGTGCTTTTCCAGCTGGTAAAAACAGCTCAACAGACACTTTCTCCCACTCTCCCATGACAGATTTGTGAAGTGTTCCCACTGTTTGGTGTTTGTTTGTCATGTTCCGACCATAAAGGATAGTTTAAAACAGCAATTAACCACCCAGGAGCAAAAATCAGCCTTCAAACTTGAAAGAAATAATGATTTGACATTTATCGCGGTATGTATCGATATCGAACGATATGAATTTTGTTTATCGTGATAACATTTTTGGCCATATCGCCCAGCTCTAGTCCTGGGGTAATTTATCAGTCGTAGATTGTGCTGTGGATGAGTCTTGGTGGGGGAATGAGCACCATGTGGTGTGTGTGTGTGTGTGTGCGTCAGAGTGTAAAAACTGCCATCTGTGTCCATGTGTGTGTCCGTGTGTGTGGGCCCATACAGCGCTGCTTCAGAATTTCACCTTGAGCTCACACGCGTACAGACGTTCATTCATGGACTCGTTATATAATGTAAATTTCTGAAGTAATCCACACACAGAAGTAGGCTTGATTCTTGCCCTTCCCTGAGGACTGTAATTTTGTTACAATGTGTGCAGTTTAATCAGTTTTACTTTTTGGATATGTTTTCAAACAAATGGTATTTGAATATCATGCAAAACTACCGTTAAAGATTCAGACCTGATGGTTGAGTTAATTTAGTGATTAATCTTTGTGTTTTAGGTTGATTTAGTGATTTATCTTTTGTGTTTACGTCTGTTTTATTGAATTTTTTTTTCTTTGTGTTTTGGCGTGATGTTCTGTGTTTTGGGGGGGTTTTTTTGTGTTTTATTCTGATCTATTTTTGAGGTCAAGAATCTGTGTATTGAAATAACCGTGCCTGTCGCTGTTGTGACCCTTTTAAATGTGTGTGCCTGTTGAAATTGGCCATGTGATGCTGTTTTTGTGGAATAAGGAAACTGTCTGAACCTCAGCTTCCTCCCTGCAGACTCACTCTTTCTGCAGAAGAACACCGGAAAACAAGCAGACCCACTAAATTGTCATCATTTTTGCGTCTGTTCAGATGACCATCCATGTTTGTGTATTTAAACCTGTTTCTGTTCTCTCTGTGCAGATGGCCTCCATTTATGTGTAATAAAGCTTTGTGCATGTTGTATCTGTGCAGATGGCCTCCAGTTTTGTAGGTCTGTTACAAACTGGGTTGCATGTGTTCATGGGTGTAAATCTCTGACCTCACAGCAATTCAGTTCTGATTCTAAGAGATGATTCAGTGCATCATGAAATCTACAATTTCACTAAGATTTGATTTACTTCGGTACAATTCAGAATTATTATTATTATTATTATTATTAAAGGAGTAGTTTGGCGAAAAGTCCGATTTATACAACTTTTCATGTACACCAGCTGTAGTCGATCAGTCAAGACATGTTTGGAGTCCAAAATGTTTGATTCTTTAGTTTAGTGCTGGAGCTATAAGGTGGCTAACGAACACTAGATGTCAATAGTCACTTTAGACATCATGGGCTGTATTCACAAACCCCCCTAATGAGTAGGAGTGCTTATGAGTGCTTTTGGGACAATGACATGTCATAAGTGCATCATAAATAGGTGATCCGTTGTGACGATTTAGTCCTGGATGTGGTTTGAGAGATGTTTTGAGAATGTATTTATGGAAATATTTGGGTGACTATTGACTGTTGACGATATTAACCTTGTAGCTCCAGCTCGGCTGATTGACTACAGCTGGTGTAGTGAAAAATTATGGGTTTTTTGTTTTTGTTTTTTATTGTTTTATTTTATTTGATTTTTCATCTGACTATTCCTTTAAAAATACATTGACTGCACAAATGGAACTACCTGATGTCCCAAATGACCCAAAAGTGCGTAATTCAGATTCACTTAATCTTATATATAATTTAATTATAATTGATTGTAATCCAAAGTTGATGCAGTTGAATCTCCACCATCAGATCACAATGAATCGATGTATTTTTACACAGTACGTGTGTACTTACTCCGCTCATAAACCTCTGTTTCCTGCAGACGGCCGTCCTCTCTATATTCTGCGTCTGGGACAGATGGACACGAAGGGCCTGGTGCGCGCTCTGGGGGAGGAGTCTCTTCTCCGACATGTAAGGACTGCATTTCCCAGCATGCTTCTCTTGTAATGTCCACTTACATCACTTTTCATATGTTCTGTAAATACTGAATAAGACTATGTGCCTGTGTTTGAATGTTCTAGGTGCTGTCCATCAATGAGGAGGGCTTGAGGAGATGTGAGGAGAATACCAAAGTCTTTGGCCGCCCAATCAGGTATGAGATTCCCTCACCGTGTGCGGCTTCATTCTTGGTGGTATAATTTGTAGGTTTACAGTCTAAACTTAAGTTATGTAATCTAATTGGTGTTTGAGTGATGCATGAATGTATGCTCATAACACAACCTCAGATTGTAGTTCCTTTTCAGTCACTCCTTCACTTTTCCTCTCCCTCTCCCTCTCTCTCTTGCTCCAGTTGTTGGACGTGTCTGGTGGATCTGGAGGGGTTGAATATGAGGCATCTGTGGCGTCCAGGTGTGAAGGCTTTGCTAAGAATCATTGAGGTTGTGGAAGCGAACTATCCTGAAACTCTTGGCCGTCTCCTCATCCTGCGTGCGCCCAGAGTTTTCCCTGTGCTCTGGACTCTGGTGAGATATCATACTTCTCCACTTCTACATTTAACGGGCCAATGATGACTGCTTTCAAAGAGGGCATCAAGTGTCTTATATAGATTCTGTATTTATAGGTGTCAAGAGGTACAAAAACGAAGTTCTGTGGCACCCTTTAAGAAATTAGTGTTTGTTGAACCATGGCTGTGGACAAAAGGTTTAAAAGCCTTTTGGTACAATAAAGGCCTTTATCATACAATAAAGTATCGTTGCATGGCATTTCAGCACGCAAGCATTTTTAGTTTTCCTCATTTTTATTCTGCTTAGTGCTCTGTTGATACCGCAATAGGCAAATGAAGACTAACGCAGTGTGATGTGCCTGCTGCCCCCTTGTGGTGATGTTACAAAGCAACACAATCCATACTGTACTGAGGTGCTTCACATGCTGTCAAACTTACTGTTTTTTTTCTGTCAAATGGTTGAGATGTATCATTTAGAGTGGTTTGGTGTGTAGCCATGGTGTGTAGCCTGGTTGTTATCACCACAACTGTAAAGAAATCTGAGTCTCTACAGTCAACCATTTCACACCAAACCACTGTTTGTTTACATCTCAACCACTGAATTATAAGGAAATTTAGAAAAATCTATGAAATTCCCATTAGCATATCTATTCTACAGTGCCATGGTGATTAAAGTGTGTTTAAAGAGTGTCAGAAGTGGTACGTGCTCTGCCATCTTACAGTGATCAGTCAGTTCTATATTGTTTTCAGCAAACCCTCCTGTTTTGTCCAGGTGAGTCCTTTCATTGATGAAAATACACGTAAGAAGTTCTTGATCTACGCTGGAAATGACTACCAGGGTCCCGGAGGCCTGGTCGATTACATCGACAAAGAGATCATCCCTGACTTCCTGGGTGGAGAGTGCATGGTGAGCACCGTCAGTTTTTATGTAGCTTCATGAATGTAAATCTCTGAAAGTTTGCCTTTTGTTTTTGCCTCGTTATCTGTACAGTTTGAATAGATTGTTGTGTATAACTGACGTGCCTCAACACTTCTAATCCTCATACATGCTGTTTGAATTTCACTTTGGCCAAAAAGCAGATAGATTTTTCCTTGAAAGTTTGAGCACTGGTCCGATTTCAGGTTTTGTTGATTTTCAGTGAAAATAAGTTATCATCTACAGAGGACACACTTCTGCACTTTTTAATGCACTAATGCAATAACTACTGTTGATCTGTTAAATGTAACATATTGGGAATAAAAATAAAACAGAATGTGTTTTGTACAATATGTGGCACATTTTATATTTTGTTGGGTTTTTTTCCCAGTAACTAGAAACTGTGCATCAAAATTTGCAGACAAATACCACATTTAAGTGTGTATGTAATTTACCAGGAGTGTGTAAATTTTTACCTAACAAGTATGTTGCTAACAAGAATAATGTATCCATTGGAACATATAAGCTTCCGTACTTACTTGTTAGCTCCGTTAGCCTCATAGCTCCAGTGACAAACTAAGTAAGGGAAGATTGAAGATTGTTGACTTTTTTATCCAGCTATTGCTTATTTTAGTATTAATTTTATTTAGAACATCTTTCACAGGCATGTTACAGTAAGAAAAATCATCTGAATCTGATTTTGATATGTGGCAGTGTGAGGTTCCTGAGGGCGGCTTGGTGCCAAAGTCTCTGTACCGAACACCAGAGGAGCTGGAGAATGATGACATCAGACTGTGGACAGAGACCATCTACCAGAGCGCCAGTGTCTTTAAAGGAGCTCCACATGAGGCAAGACACACACGCAACACACACACCTGTTTCATAACATTTAACACATTTTGATCTGCAGGCTTCACATTTTTCCAAGACAAATGTAGTTATATGTATGAGCTGTGTATATTTGTGTTTACTGTATTTTATTTAAAATTCAGAAACACAATTCAGGGCATCGCACTTCAAAGCAAAACATTGTTCATAACTGCCGTACATTTAAAAAAAAGTTTAAAAAAGAAAGATACAAAAAAAAAACTATTAAAAAATGGATAGATTTGTTCTGCAAAGATCATTACTTACTACTTGTTTATTTATTTTTAAATACATGTTTTCTGCTTTGTTATGGTGAGAGAGGATATATTTTTGTTAGTACTGGTTTCATACATGATGGTGCACAGTTTTGATGTTTGCTGTTATTCTGGAAAGTTAATGAAAATAGTGAAAGTAATGAAAAACCCTTCTTAAGATCCACAAATTATCTGTGCAGTTCAGTTTGTGGGCAATCGCTGCATCACACCTTGAATCATCATTAGTAATGAATTGTGTTAGTAAAGAGAATGAACTGATTTAGCTCTGTTATCTTGGGTGTGCCTAAGCTGAGAAAACACTGAATTCTGTAGTGCAGGGATCCTCCAGGCTTGAGATGGAAAATAAGCACATGTAATGGTGTTCGTTGTAAATACTGCCCCCTCATGGTGATAAAATGCACTTGCCTTTTATATTTGTCTATATTGTCTTATTCTCATCTATTTCTCGTCTACAGCTTTTGATTGAGATCATCGATGCCTCCTCAGTCATCACGTGGGATTTCGACGTATGTAAAGGTGATGTGGTCTTCAATATCTATCACTCTAAGAGGGCACCGCAGCCGCCTAAGAAGGACCCGCTGGCGGCTCACGGCATCACATCTCCCGGAGGCAACAACGTGCAGCTGATCGACAAGTCGTGGCAGTTGGGGCAGGATTACAGCATGGTGGAGTCACCCCTCACCTGCAAGGAGGGTGAGAGCGTGCAGGTACGTCCCCTACTAGATATACCTGTACTGCACATTGTAGAGTTTTCTCAAAAACACCAGAGAGCAGTTATTTGGTTAGTTGAATCAGGAGTATTAAGCACTAAAAGTGCGGCGTGCAGGAAGAACTCACTGAAAGACTGAGACGGGGGGGGAGAGTTTCATTTGAGGATTTCTTAGTAAACTGGATAATTTAAGCCCAAAGTGAAGACATCTAACAGAAATGGCTCTGACCTGCTTGACTTTGGGATAAACTGACCTGGCTAACTGACCTTGCTTTGTAACACACCCGTTTAATCTTTTGTACCACAGCAAACCTTATGCATAGATTATTTAAAGATTATAAATTATTTTTTGTAGGTTTGGAATGGGATTTGCTTGTGGTAAGTGTGCACACTAATCGAAAGATGGCTGAAAACAGCTCAAGCGAAATCTGTAGTCAATTTGAAATGAAAATCGTGATGCATCTTCCTTTCATATCATGATGTATTTGTGAGTGAAACATATTATTGGTTCCTTGTATTTTTCACCAACTGCTGGTTCACAGTGACATTATTCAAAAAGAGTTGAGGTCACTACATTTTAATGGAAAATCAGCAAAACAAGACTAAACGTTGCTTAAATTATATGATAAATCGAACCTAATTGGACTAACAATGTAAATTCAAATAATTCAGAAAAATGTTTCGGTCATATGTGACTTTCTTCAGTGCATTAACTCCTTTAGTTTCTTTTCAAGTGCTGTGAGTTTACTGTGGTTCATTTATCTCCTCTATTTCTCTTTCCCTCTGTTTCCATCTCCAGGGTTCTCACGTGACCCGCTGGCCTGGTTTCTACATCCTGCAGTGGAAGTTCCACTCCATGCCTGCGTGTGCCACCACTAACCTGCCACGTGTGGATGATGTGTTGGCCACGCTGCAAGTTTCTTCTCACAAATGTAAAGTCATGTACTACACTGAGGTTCTGGGCTCCGAGGACTTCAGGTAAATGTGCAAATATTTTGCCACTGACCGCTTTGGAACCTCAGTGATGTATGCCATTACAACACCAGGAGAAATGCTGTCACTCTGGCACAGTAGACCTATTAGATATAGTAGGTGGGGCATCACAACTTCAAAATGTAGTATAGTGTACCAGCATTCATATAAAAGCTTAGTCTTTGTTAACGAAAGGATATAAAAGTGCATTAGATATTTATATTATCAGGAGCTTGTGTTCCTTTCAATTGGCATAAAAGTTTGTAATGTTTCCAATTGATCCTTGTATTTAGGACAGTTAACTAGCTGTGGCTGGGGACTTTAACTTGTAGGTCTAAATGAAGTCTACTAGTGCCTTATGATTGATTAATACAAGCTCGGTTGCATTAATCATAATGTGGTGTTTTTTTCAGTTAGTTTTTGTTTATTTATTGCATTTCATTTCGTTTTATTTAATCACAACTGCTATGTTAAGGTAACTGCCCCATCAGCCTAGTATTAGCCTTCAGTACACTATCCAAGCCTGCTGCCTCTTCTCTCTCTGTCTCTCTCTCTCACTCTCTCTCTCTCTCTCTCTCTCTCTGTCTTTTATATATGTATACATACATATCTCTCTATCTCTTTCTCCTTTCTGCACTTTTCTCCTCACTGTTTCCTTTCCTTTCTGTTTCTCCCTGTAAAGAACCGCTTGCTGCGATGTGCAGAGTTTGTAAGTGATCTTGTTTGTCGTTAGCCTAGCTTTAGCACCATGCTAACGAAACTCTGTTGTTCTGCAGCAGCACTGTGCTAACAAAGAGCTCTTTTTGTTAGCATTAACAGCATGCTATAAAAAGCACTGTTAAGCTCTGCTGAACACACGCTTGGCTTGGGTGTTGGTAATTTGCCAGGGGAGCCAAACTCTGGTCTTGAAGGGCCAGAATCCAGCACAGTTTGGTGAATTTCGTGTGCATGACTAAATCTGGTTATGAGGGGCCGGTTGCACCCAACAGATCTTAAATAAGACAGATTAACCGCTGACTAATATCGATTTTTAGACAGGACAGGGTCACTCAAGATTGTGCCTCAGCACAACTCCGCCTCAGTCGAGAATAAATGAATAAAACGTTAAAAAATGTAATAAATAAATAAAATAGAATGAACATTGAAAGTAATAACATGCCGTCTATAAACGTTTAGGGGATAGGAGAGTGGACAGTAGAAGATACGTAACACATACTCCTGGATAGACTTTGTTTTTACACCCCTTCTTAAGAGAGAATTCAGTTTATAAGCAGTTGGTGCAACAGTCTTAAAGCTATGCCCAGATAGTTCCAGCCAAATTAGCAAATGACCAGGCATAATCTGTTTGTGCAGCTGGTCCCAGGAAATCACCAAACTATTCTGGGTTCTGTCTCTGTAGAACACAGTTGGGTTCCCCTGATCTAGAGCATGTAAGCCTATGTAAAACTGTTGTGTGAGATTACATGAAGTTAGCGTACATTTGCAGTAGGCCCTCACTGTACAGCAATTAAAAATATATTATTTGCATGTGTCCAGCTTTGATTATAAATTCAGGATACCTTATCTATTGTATTGTCGAGTCATCTTCAAGTCATCTTGAGGGCCTGATGCAAATATTATTAATACCCTATGTGCAAGAGTGTGAAACCTAAAATCTTTTATGCTTTAAAACATACTAACCTCATCTCAGGTTTTCTCCTAATCACTAATACTGAAGGAGTTGTTTGAATGCTGATGTGGCTGATGTAGTCAGAGACATGTCTTGTCATTTACTTGCTTATTGAAACTTGTATTGTTAAAGCTAGTGTTTTAGCTACTTTTATAAGCCATGCTAGCATGTAGATTTGATTTTCTCAAACCACCAGATATTGCTTACACATTGCACGCTTGAAAGGAACAGTTTGGTGAAAATCAACTTTACACACTTTTTCCACTTACCCCACGTTTCATCGATCAGCCAAAACATAATTTGGTTCAGAATTACACTTCTTTAGTTTAGCACCGGAGCTACAAGCCTGATGTTGCTAACACTAGAGGTCAACAGTCACCCAAATCTTTTCAGGAGGTAAACCCCCAAAACTTCTCTCAACCCGCCCTTCCAGGTCTTCATTAAGGTTGCAAAGAATGTGGTTTAGAACACAGTATGAGTTATTTTCATGTGCACACCTGAATGGCACTAATTACATTCACTATTTTTTTTTTGTTTGTTTCTATTCATAAATAACAAATTCTTGAATTTTTAAATTGAAATGTTTAGAAGTCGAAAGAACAAGAAATCACTTCTAGTGTTTTAGCGTAATCTTCCATTGCTAAACTAAAGAAGCACAGTTTTGGCACTGAACGTGTCTTGGCTGATCGACTACATCCAGGGTGAGTGGAATTGCTGTAAATAAGATTTTATAACTGAACTATTCCATTCAGTAAATAACTGCAGATTTTTAACAAATATAGTTGGACGTGGACGCAGCACAGGGCAGACTTGTCTTGGCCTTTCCCTTCTGGCTTAACTGTTGACTTAAGGCTTGGCGCGATTGGCCGGTTTGATTTCCTGGTTTCTGTTTTGGTTTTAGTTTTGGTTTTAGTTTTGTTTAGTGATCACACAGCACTGGTCACATCCACCCTTATCAGTTGTACTGAACTGCTTGATCTGCATTCACAAATGTGAGATTTCTCCCATCACTCAGGGAGAACTGTATATATAAATAATCAGGAATACTTCATCTAAACATGCTTCTAATTCTAATGTTCTATATTCTAATTATCCAATACAAATGAAAGCTAGTGAGCTCTGTTCTCCTTTGGCCTCCATTCATTATCTTCCCATATTAGCATTTTTGGATGAATTGTTCCTTTAACTGAGTGGTTTTCCATCACAGGCCTCGAGCCCAAATGCGCTGCACATATTGTGTTTTTCCTTGCTGTAACATGCCTTATTCATGAAGATCTTAAGTTCCTGATTAAATGCTTTGGATGTGTTGGAGAAAGAAAAATACACAAATGTGCAACACTGGGATTGAGAACTCAAACTGTAATGGCTTAGATACAGATAGTGTGCACTAAGTGGTTGATGTAGAGTGGTTGCATGTTGTGCTGAAGCTGTAGAAACTGGACTGGGCATGGGATAAACTCACAATGGGACTTTGGTTACTCCATGGGTTTTATTAAAGGAAGAGTTTGGTGAAAAGCTAATTTACACAGTTTCTGCTCTTATCTTAAAAGTAGTCCATCAGCTAAGATGTCTTTGGTGTCTGAAGTTTGCTCCTTTAATTTGAATTAATTTTTAATTTCGTTTCACAGATAGATTTCATTGTTATTGTCAACTAGGTTGGACGATTTTAAACATAAGTTTACATGCTGTCTGTGACTTTAAGGTGCACTAATCATACTTGTCGTGTAATCTTTTTCTTGTTTATATCAGTCTAATTATCTAAATAAGTAGCAACGTTTTTTCTCTTTTACTGTGACTGTTAGACCGATAAACCTGTGCAGCAGCCAGACACGCAGAGAACGCCTTCCCTCACAAAATGTGAACAAGGGCTTAAATGATTTTTGATGTTGCGATTACATCAAAGTTAGTGAAGGTGCCCACTGTTTGAGGCGAGTGTGATCATTTAGACGCACTGATTAGTGCATTACTTTTTAGCTAATTTAGCGTTAGCTCTAGTGCAAAACATCAAATGCTGAAGGTCTTGGCTGATTAGCTACACTTGGGGAAACTTGAGTAAACTTGACTTTTTGCCGAACTATTGCTGTAACAGGAGAACTTTAATTTGAGCTGGCTCTTTTGAGCGGATGTACTTCTGTTCTCATCAACTCTCTCTCTTTCTCTCTCTCTCTCTCTCTCATTCTCAGGGGCTCTATGACGAGTCTGGAGTCGAGCCACAGCGGCTTCTCTCAGCTCAGTGCCGCCACGACTTCCTCCAGCCAATCGCAGTCCAGCTCTATGATCTCCAGGTAGATCCCGGAGGGGCGGTTTGGTTGAGGAACGTTTTGCAGCGTTCTGTCAGAAGAGCAGGACTCGACTGTCAAATCAGCCCAAAGTTTGTTCCAACCTCTCCACCATGACCCCTCCAACCCTTTTCCAGCGAGGACCTCTTGAAGCATGCTTGCACAATGGAAGATCAGAGAAAAAAACAAAGAAAGAAAAATGCATATTTCAAAGCAACATGGGGTTGTCAGTTGTACACAAGGGCTTGGATCTGTGTTGCCATAGCGCTCTGCTGGGCTGCAGGTCAGTTCACGGGCAAGATTTTTGTTTTGTTTTATTTCTTTTCCTTCCAGCTACAAGTTGGAGTGATGTCGTGGTTTGCGAAACGCACCGCTGATGGACTGAGCAATATGAGTACTTTTGCATGGAGGTGGATTCAGAGAAATGGAGAAACTCAATGCGCTGTTACACAGAAATAAGTGCACAAACACAGCACACAGAATACTGTATATGCTCAATTATGCCATATCACTGGGAGAACGCCCTTCTGGTGAAACGTTTATAGGTCAAAGCGCAGGTTTTCGAAACGAGGCAAGGTGTCCGCCCAAAGCAATAACTTAGGGACATTTCTACCGTTTGAATTTGTATTTATCATTGGACTACATAGTTTTGGAGACGATTTTGGAGTCTTCTGGGTGCTATGTGCTCTTTAGTGCTTAGCTGTAGTGTCTGGCTACTGAGTTTGGAGTCTAGACATCCAGTGCTTTGGAAAGCAGTAGAAGCTTGTGGTGAAATTAATAATTAGCGCTGCTTCTAGTGGTTGTTATGCGTGTCGCTTGAATAGTTTTGAATTTCGTGGAAATGCCTTGATTGTCTGAATTGCTACTGATCAGTTCCTATGCAGTTAGCCAGTGGGCCTGAGGGTCATTTTATGTTTTATAGGTCAGAATTGTTTGTTGGAGTGAAGAAAAAATGAATATTAGAACGTAAAGTTACAATCAGTACAGTTTTAAACATCTTAATTGCATGTAAATTGATTAGCAATGTTTATATCAATACATTAGATCTTAACTGGATGGAAAATTCACAGACTCTAGTAACACCTGTCCCCAAATCTGTTTGAATTGGTTAAAGATGCTGTAGCATCTACTCTGTATTTATGATAAATGTTCAATCTGGCAACCTTAACACTCCAGACAAACCAGTTTATTTGTAAAATGTACTGGTTGTACCTTTTAACCGATAGGTCATGTCTTACAGTTTATCAGGTTTTTCTATATTACTTCATAGTTTTATTTTTTTTGAGATGAAGACTTGAAGTGAGTAAGAGTTACAGTGTAGTGCATTATTACAGCAAAGGTCACAGTACAGTGAGGAGATCATGACCTCGCTACAGTTTATGAATGTTTTGTTAAACTAAGAGTTTTACTTGGTGATCAGTTTGGTGTGTAGTTGTTTAGGCTTAACTCCTTTTCTTGATATACCAGGGCGGTAAATAAAGGGTCACAAATGAGAGGCTGGGGTTTAAGTTTTACATTGAACCTTCACCTGGCCAGGTGCTTGATGAGGTCATGAGCCATAGTTGAATGTCTGTTACGTCTAGTTAGGTCAGTAATGGCTTTTTAACAGTAAATGCACTCCTTATCAAACAGGGCACCAGTGAATGAGTTTTGTTAGAGTAGGTAGTTTAAACTGGCTGTTACACTCAAATCAGATTGTCCTTCTTGTTCAGTTTAACCACGTCAGACTGGTGTTTAACCACTTAAGAGCCTGTATGTGGGTCTGTACCTCAATTAACAACATAACTTGCATATTAGTTGCACAGTATTTACTAGGTCTGGGTTTTAAATTTTTCAGGATCGATACTAGGGATGTGCATTCCGACTAAATTAGGTAGGTTAGTCTTTTAACCGTTTCTGAACCAAATATCAGCCAAGCCTATTTATCAGTAAAAGCTGTGCTGTCTCTGTTAACAGAACTGAATTGATGATCTATATATTTTTCCATCTTCCCATGCTGAAACATAACGAATACCAGAATAGTGATTTTACTATCCGAATGCTGGCACCTCGAACAGTTAACCGAGTACTCGAGTAACCGTGCGCAACCCTAATCAATACCAAAAACCTTGACTTCCATACCGATTCAACTTTTTCCGATACCTTCTTTTAAATTACAAACCAAAAATGGGTGTGGTTTTTACCATATCAGATGGTAGAAGTGGGTAAGTGTTTCACAAAGTAATCAAAAAGCGGAAACATTAATAACATGTATCCAAACTGCAGTTTGAACAGCCAATCAGCAGTCTAGATTTTGGAGCAAGCATGCTCGTTGGCTCACGAGTATTACAACTGACTGCTTAGTGGGGGTGTAACGATTCACAGAATTCATTAACCGAAAAAATAAAAATAAAGAGTGGCTGAAATGTGCCTTATGCTTATGTTCATCCATTTTCAGTATACTGAAGCAGTCATCGGTACAAAAGAACAATATTTGAAACAAACTGTGCTTCATAGTATCCTAATCTAATGCTCTAGGCACAAACTAATATTTTAGCCCCAGATCTAACACACTAGCCACAAAGTAGTGTTCTAGTAACGATACAGTGACACAATACAAGCCAATATATTGTTACATCCCTACTAAAGTATTAAAACTGTTTGGAATTTTACTCAAAAGTACTGAAGTATTTCAGTCAGTACCGTAAAAGGATTGAATTTGATACCCAGTCCTAGTATTTACTGAATAATTTACTGTAATTACTGTATAATACAGCTTAATGTTAATAAATGAATAGTAAACCTGCAGTTTAAGGGGTTAAACAAGGTCTTGGCACATGATCTGAACTAAATAGGTCATCTATGTTTAATGAAAAGATCAACATATTCAGACTTGAAGGATAAGATCTGAGAGACAGCAGAACATGTTCTTTGGGTTCTATCTGCTTTAAGAGAGCAAAGGTGGTGTGGTGTGGCCTGAACTGTGGACTTAAGGACTGAGTGCAGTTTAAAAGTGATCTTCACATTTTCCTACTCATACTCTCACTTCCCAAACTTCTGGAGCACAGATTCAACAACCAGAAGATTTGAGGAGACCTTTCTGCCATTCAAGCTGCCATTCGAGTGTGATTGTGAAATCTGATGGAGACGTTTTTATGAAGACCTTTTCGCTTATTGGTTTTAAAAGGTGAGCCACCAGTCATTTACATACATTTAATAGTGGGTGTGGAATGACCACAATCTGGCAACCTGGAGCAACAGACTGCAACAAGCTAGTTAACACACAAGTTTTCTACTTTGCATTGAAAACTGTAAAAGAAAATATAAGCACTCCAGGATTTTTATCCTATTTTCCACAATGGGGTTGTTTTAACGTCAAAAAAACGAGAATCCTCAAGCAAACGTTTGTTGAGTGTTGCAATAACCATGAAATGCTTTACTGTTTAACAAAAAAGGACAACAAAAAAAGAACAGAGGGCTGTGTTTTGTATGTTTGAAGATCGAGTCTGCTGTCCTGAAATTCCGTTTTTACGTGTTTGTTTTTACTCTGTACTCTGTACTATGCTAATGTTAAGTCGTTGTTCTTGACACAGCATGCTAACGCTAGATGCTAACGCTGTGCTTGTGCGAATCTGTTCCTGTCTGACTAGACTCCCGGGTGTTGAGATATGCACACGTCCTTTCCTCAACAGTTTACAGTGAATTTGAAGCAGTAGACAAGGGCCTCTGCCATGGCCTCCATCCTCAACCACTCCTACAGATTTATGTCTTGTGTTCACTTTTGACTAGCACATTAGCAAAGGAAGCTTAGCACAAATGGAATTCTGTGCACACAACTGTCCCAAACGTCCGTGAACAAGCACCAACTCCAGTTTCCACTGGCTCAAAGTTCTCACAAACACCCGACAAGCTCAATGAATGGAAGTACTCATTGTTGGGTTGGTCTGTGTTGGGTAGATTTTACAGCATGGCTGCCAACAATGTGAGCCTAAGCAAATTTTAAAACCGATGATAAATGTCAGATATGCACGATTTTCATGCCTCGCCGAACGTAGTACATCAGCCTGTTTGGTGTCTGAAATTTGCTTTTTTTTAGTTTTGTACTGGAGCTAAGAGGTGCTCATGCTCATTCAGCTAACAAATGGACTTAATTTAAGTATGCTAATGGGTTATAAGCTTCTAGTTTCTTAATATAAGACTGTAGCATCCATTTAGCATTGTTACTTCTGTTAGGAATCTACTTGTTAGCTACATTAGCCTTGTTTGCACTGAGGCTAAGATGCTAACAAGTATTTCTAAACAAAAGGCTAAAGGCTTCCATTACTCATTAGCTACATTTGTTTTGGACTGGAGCTATGATGCTAAAGAAGAAAACTTATTGCTACGAGGCTATTGTAGATAACAAGTAGGCCTATTGGAAATAACTGATAAACTGAAGGCTATAGGCTTTCATTACTTCTTAGCTACACTAGCACAGTAGTTCCAGTGTGGGACTAAAGAACCAAAATGACTGCTACAAGGCTAGTGTAGCCAAAAGTAGGCTAAATGAAAGTAGTTATGATAAGCTGGTGGCTATAAGATGAACTACATTAGCACTAAAACCAAAGGAGCAAACTTCAGAGACCAAACGTCTTACCAGATAGACTGTATGGGGTAACTTGAAATAATTCCTCCATGTAATGATGATACATAAGTTAGTGATAAGTTACAGCCAGTACACATGGATATCTGATATTCTATGTGGTTTATTGACACATTCACATTACATTTCAGATAACGGTCAGAATATTTGGGCAGCTGCGTTGTAAACTCACCCGACATCCAATCTGAGCCGACTTTTTTCAGCGTCAGTGTGTCAGTAGAAGCTTAGCTAAGAAATCTCAGCCTCTGTTTCATGTTTGGATAACTTTCTCTTTCCAGAGTGTTTGGTCTCATTGGCGTATGAGGGCTATAACTGTTTGTCTGTCTATCAGTCTGTCTCCCCTGTGTTTGTCACTGTGTTTTTCTCCATCAGCACATACTGTATTCTCTGTTCATAAACACTGCATATCTTTTCTCTAAGGAATTATTATATGTGTAAAAAATGAATTTTTGAATTAATATACAGAATAGCGCCTTTACATTTTTTGAAACTATTAAACTTGAATTATCAGACATTGAGTGTTCTGGGTCTTTCTTGTGCTCCATGTGATGTTTACTGCTGTTCCTGCAGCATTTGTCCTGGCGTTTTCACTTCAAGGGAACACCGGAATCACTGCACAACATAATCACCACCACCAGAGGGCACTCATTACCACACAAAGGAGATAAAAACTGCAGAAAAATCAGGGCTGCCAGGGAAACCCTCCCAGAGAATGTGCAGTGAGGAGAACTGCCGGCTTTGTCAGATGCTAGAGGGCGCTCCCAGGCATTTCAGCTCCGCTCATTTTTTAAATGCTTTTGGACTCCAGTTATAGGACTTTGTAAAGGTGCCTTATGTACGTTCATGAGGTCAGCGAGTATGAACGCAGCCAATGTGACGATGAGCTCATCAACCAATCCGCACTCGGTAGCAGAAGCCCAAACCCATCACCACTCAATAGCAGTAATACTCACTAATCAGCACTCAGTACCAGTAACGCCAACCAATCAGTACTCAGTATCAGCAATGCCAACCAATCAGCACTCAGTATCAGCAATGCCAACCAATCAGTACTCAGTAGCAGTAACGCCAGTACCAGTAACGCCAACCAATCAGCATTCAGTATCAGCAAAGCCAATTAATCAGCACGCCGTATCAGCAATGCCACCCAGTCGGCACTCAGTAGCAGCAATGCCAACCAATTGGCACTCGGTAGCTTTGTTATGCCAACCAATCAGTACTCGGTAGCAGTAATGCTAACCAAGCAGCATTCAGTAGCAGCAATGTGAACCAGTCAGTCGACACCGGACAGCGTTAATATAAAATATGAAAATACAGAAGCGGATAAAAACAGGACACTGCAGCAGGTTTTGGTCACTCCCATGTGATACTGGCGTTTTCTATAAGGCCAGGATTTCTCAGTTAACCTGCTATCTTAAGCGAAAGCTGTCCAGTAAACGTACTCATTAAAATAGCCACATATAACAATAGAACCGCAGCTGTTGTTCCTGCCAGTGGGCGTTACTGCCTTAATTGCTTCACGTACAATAGTGCCGAATCATTTACAGTATGAGATTCAGTACAGTAATGCTAGTAAAATTAATAAACAGAACAAAGAATAGCGGTTTTACAACACTTCGATTTGGAACGTCTCTCCAGCGTAGCCGCTGTGAGCGTGCTCCCTTTGCAGTGCCCTAAGTAGGCTGCATATGATCGGAATGGAGCGCAGCCTTTCCCACCGTCACGTTGCGGAAGCAGAGCTGAATGGGGGATCGAGACGAGGAGCTGGTGCAGCAGTGGGAAAGGTTTGGGTCTCAGAGCTGATAGAAACTTCGGATTGTGTTGTTTAGTTTCGTCGACAGGCTGTCAGACTGTCTAATTATGAAGACGCCATTACCACAGCATAGTTTTAGCTAGTTTCCAGTTGCACGTGAATACAGTGGACGTGCACGTGAACATGTAAACAAAGTATGTACCCCCTGTCCACTTTATTTATCAGAAACCCCTACAGTGCTCCACCAAGCCATTCGCTAGTCCTCCAATTTCTGACGCTGATGTTTTCCTGCGTGTATAAAACGTGTATAAAACTCCTACAGCACTGAAAACTGCTCTGGAACCATTTCTGTTGTAGAGGGCGCTGCTCAAAAATCAAATAAGGGTGAAATGGACTGAAATATGTGGACTCGGTAAACATTAAGGCTCAAACATTCATTCTTTTTGGTGTTGTTACTGAAATGTTGCATAACAAAGAGTTCTGATAGCTTTTCTATGATGTCATGATTGCACTAATGCAACCAAGAGTTCTGATTGCTTTATTATGATGTCATAATTTCTCTAATGTAACCAAGAGTTCTGGAGTTATGATGTCATAATGGCACTAATGAAAGCAAGTGTTCTGATTGCTTTATTATGATGTCTTAATGGATTGAATGCAACCAAAATTTATAAATGTTATGATATCACAATGGCACTAATGCAACAAAGAGTTCTGATTGCTTTATTATGATGACATAATGGCACAAATGCAACCAAGTGTTCTGATTGCCATGTTATGATGTCATAATGGCTCTAACGTAACCAGTAGTTCCGAATGTTTTAATGTGATGTCATAATGGCTTTAGTACAGCTAGGATTTCTGATTGCTTTATTATGATGTCATAATGAAACTAAGCAACCAAAAGTTCAGAATGTCATATTGTGAATTCATAATGGCACTAGTGGATCTAAGAGTTCTGATTGGTTTATGATGTCATAGTGGTGTCAAAGTAACTAGAGTACCAGCACCATTCACACTACAATGTCATGTGTTACTGCTGTGCTGAGAATGGACCACCTTCCAAACGATATCTGGATGAGGTACAGCGATAATTATAAACTGTGTGGCAATAGAGGGGCTACAGTCAGTAATTGTATCATTGTATCTATACAATGGACCTATAAAGTAGGTAGACTTCATACATTGGTCAGTGAGTGGAAAAACAGTGGTTATTCCAGTTTCTCACATATTTTCCCTTTAATTTTGGTTCACCAGTGAAAACTGGACACATAGATTAATTATAAGTCTGACTGTTAGAAACAGCCACCTTCTACTACCACTGACTGACCACTTTATTAGACTCACCTACCTTCTGCTTCCGCTCACTGACCACTTTATTAGAAACACCTACTTTGTGGTTCCACTCACTGGCCACTTTGTTAGAAACACCTGCCTTGTGCTTCCCCTCACCGGCCTTGTAGATCCACTGTGTAGGTATACATTAACTGACCACTGCTGAAGGTTTTGAGGATGGCTAACACAGACTGTCCATCAACAGCTACAAGAAAGGGGTGTTTCTGATAATGTGGTTGGGGAGCGTGCTCTAAGGATGTGATGGTGCAGCAGCACCTTTACTCTGAGTTCCTGATTAAATATTAGCCAGACTTTAGATCAGTGAGAGCTGGCGGTCGGGGACCAGAGAGCATGCTGGGGGACCTTTCACTCTGCGCCAGTGGGAGAGGGAAGTCCTGCCAGAACACGACAAAGCTGGTCAATCAGATGGCTGTCCGTTCTGAGCTTGCCAACCGTGAAGGAGCCTTAGTCAGCCGGCTGCTTATCTCTCAGCAGTTACACTCACCTGTGGGTTTTATTGATTTGTTCCTCAAGAGCTGTTTGTTCTCATTGTGTCTCGGTGAGATTCTCAGCCTGCTTTGTGAGGAATTGGCCTAATTATTGGAGTACACTGCCTGTAGCTGCTGTAGGTCTGCAGTAGCTCCTCCACTAAGTGAATGTATCAAAACTGGCGCTGTCATAGCAGCTTTGTGTTTATTTAGGCAGAATTTCCATTCAGTAATTTTAAAATGTGAAGAGAAATTTCTGAAGTGGCAAATGATGTTTTTTTTATGAATGTGTGAAAGACATCATGTCTTTAACTGACAATGACAGAAGAATGAAGAAGAACAAGAATATTGGATAACACTTTATAATAACAGGCCCCTATAATTTGCAACTTTAGCAGTTTGTTAATGACAGTTAATAATTATATTTTTACTAGCGTATTAATACAATTGTAATTATTAACTATTTAGTGACATACAGATGATTAAACCACTGAAAATGATTTTCATAAATGTATTCTGTTTAGGTGTAATAAGTAATATGATTTTTTTAAAATATTGATATTAATTCATTAACGAAATTGTAGATAATGATTAAGCCGTGCTTCAGGAATATCACTCTCAAAACTCCTTATTAGAAACACCTACACTTCCACTCACTGGCCACTTTATTAGAAACACCTACCCTGTACTTCCACTCACTGGCCACTTTATTAGAAACACCTACCTTTTCCATACATTACTTACCGCTTTATTAGAAACACCTACCTTGTACTTCCACTAACTGGCCGCTTTATTAGAAACACCTACATTGTACTTTCTTTAACACCTACATTGTACTTTCACTAACTGACCACTTTATTAGAAATACCTGTCCTGTACTTCCACTAGCTGGCCACTTTATTAGAAACGTCTACCTTGTACTTCCATTAACTGCCCACTTTATTAGAAACACCTACCTTGTATTTCCACTCACTGGCCACCTTTAGAAACACCCACTTACCTCTACATAAGCAAGTCTATCAGAGATTACTGAACAGTATGCATCCACAGTTTGAGGGAATGTGTGATGATTTAGAAGTGCAGTTAGCACCATCCTAATTATTCAGGTATTAGCTTCCTTTACATCTTAGTAACATTAGTGTCAGAGCTGGAGTCTCACAGTTAACAAGTGGTGTACTGCAGCTGAGGCCTTCGCTACCATATATTAGCTTATAACCTCACTGGTTCATGTTACAGGGTGTTAAAGTTGACCCTAAATGGGTCAACTTTAACACCCTGTAACATGAACCAGTGAGGTTATAAGCTAATATATGGTAGCGAAGGCCTCAGCTGCAGATACTGACAGTACACCACTTGTCTAATCTAATCTCTTCCATCTAATGAAACCCCACAATAAGCTGAGGTGTGTGTGTGTGTGTGTGTGTGTGTGTGCACACGCAGGGAGCAGGAGTGTTTGAAGCAGCGTTTGGTGGAGGAGGACACGGAGGCCTGGCAGAAAAATCCAAACTTCAGTGGGCTGCAGAGGGTAGGAGGGGTGGACCTGTCCTTCATTAAAGGAGATGAAGTCAATGCCTGTGCTCAGCTCGTCGTGCTTAGTTACCCTGATATGGAGGTCAGAAAGCATTCTTAAAGGAAAATTTCACCAATTCCATAAGTTCAGTGTTTGAGATATAAACAGATTGATTCAAAGTGGTTTGGTGTGAGATGGTTCAGATTTCTTTACAGTGGTGGTGGTGATAGGAACCAGGGGTCGCCATGACTACAACACAAATATAGACAATTAATTTACTATCCGAAACCACCAGTGAACCTACACGAGTCTTCTGAGTTTAATATGGAATGTTGACGATGGGAAAACAGTGGAAAATCATAAAATAATATTTTTCTTTGGGGACTATTTTTCCACACAACACCTTGCGTGTATCCCTCCGCCATGAATACATAAACAAAATGTTTTAGGCTAAAATCTTCTTAAAACTATCATAAAACAGTGTGTTAGACATCAGACAGGGTATTCATAACCATTTCATGTAATAACTTTCTGTGAGGGAGCTTTTAGACGTGGACGTCTGGTTCCTATCACCACCACTGTGAACAATTCTGACTCGGTACGTTTCTCTAGAACAGAGCATTTCACACAAAATGACTCTGAAAGACTCCCACATTGACACTGTAACACTGTCTTGAAAAAAAGTCTAGTGTGATTTTTGACTGTAAGCCACAAATGCATTAGGATAAGGTGTGATTATGTTTTAATGAGCTTTAATTTAATGAGAACTAATCAATCTCTCTCTCTCTCTCTCTCTCTCTCTCTCTCTCTCTCTCTCTCTCTCTCGCTCTCTCTCTCTGTAGTTGCTGTATGAGTGCAGTGAGATGGTGACCCTTAGTGCCCCCTATATTGCTGGGTTTCTGGCCTTTAGAGAAGCTCCGCCCCTTTTACAGCTTCTACAGAGACTGGAGAGAGAACAGCCCAGCCTGATTCCCCAGGTCACACAAATGTTTGTGTTATATTTGCTGTATTGTGAGGACGTCCACTGACTTGTATAATACTATAGCTGAGTAATGCCATGTTTACAACTAAACCTAAACCCTAAACTTAACCTCAGTAACCAGAAGCCTCTTTTGGCTCTTTTAGTTTTTCCAAAAAAAGTTACATTTGTGACGAACACAGCAGTTTTCCTTGCGAGAACATTACAGATCCTGTTTTGTGTTTTCCTATCATTATGAGGACATCTGGTCCCCACAAAGCCTAATGCCACAGGTTACACACCTACACGGATTACATTCAGTACTGGGCAAAAGCCAGAGACCACCCTTATTACCCAGAAGCTTCAACAATGAAATCTAACATCAGCTGTTTGAGTGTTGAGTGTGTCACTCTTGACCTTTATTACCGCTTCCATTCTTTTCAAGAGACTCACTTTCAGCTTCTCAAAGAAACTGCCGACACACCTCCAAAGTTCAGTCTTAGAAGTTGGTTGATCATTTTCTGAAGTAATCCAGACACATTCAGTGATGTTAAGATCGGGACTCTGGGGTGGTCAGTCCACTGTTCAGCCTCTTTGTTTGATGTGTCCGTATCCTTTTCTCAGTGAGGCTTCATGAACAGCTACACATCCTTTCAGACCCATAGTGCTGAGTCGTCTTCTCACAGTGGAAGGATGGACAGAAACACCTGTGGACGTTTTCAGATCTGAAGCAGCTTGATTTTCTCCTCTCTCTCAGAGATGAAAGTTTTAAGTGCTGTTTATCTGATGGGGGCAGTTTTGGTGTCTACTAGGTCTTCCAGGTGGTTGTTAGGAGTCACATTTTCTCTGTGGCTTTGAATCATTTTTGCTCCTTTCCTTATGCGTGCGGATTATTTCATAACAAATCTCCTTACAAATAGTGCGCACTTGATTGCCGTTTTAACTGTAAATGAAGAAACTGAAGGGTGGTCTTTTGCACAGTGCTGCATGTACACAGATTACATACAGTTGGCTGGTTGCTACAGTCCTTCTGCAGCAGTTCTTTCAAAACTGTACGAAAACATGAATTACATAAAGGAGGAATTTTGAAAGAGATTTTCTCCCACACACTCTCACACTGGTCTGCACTCTGGTCACTTATTCAAGGTTTTTGAGGAGATCTGACCAATGGGCCAAAATAAATAATGAAAGAAAAAAAAATAAACACAAGATCCATCACTTGTTTCAGATTCCCACAAGTAAAACTCTGACTTCTGACCCAGTTTGTGACTGAAGTGAATTAAAAAGCTTCGTTCTCTCTCTCTCTCTCTCTCTCTCTCTCTCTCTCTCTCTCTCTCTCTCTCTCCTCTTCTCCTCTCTCTCCCTCTGTCTCCCACTCACATATTGATTCATGCTTTCGCTAAACTCTTTCTTTCTTCTTCAACTCATTCTTCCTCCCTCTTTCACACTCAGCCCACATAACACTCCTACACTCGTCCTCTCTCATTCTCTCTTTCTTTCAGTCACTCCTTTCCTTCTGTCACTTGCTTGCCGTTCGTCTT